TACCCGGCGGATTCGCTCTTTTATTTTAGTAGGGATTATTATATTTTAAAATTAAAAATATTATAAACTTTACATATATGGTTTATTTACACTTTATATTGTGTTTTGTAAATTTCTATTTATTTTTTTAATACTATATTCGACATCATAATGACAAATAACACAATTGTAAATTAATAGGGTACGAATGATTTAGGAAGGAAAGTATCGGTGCATATCTCGAAAAGCTTAAATTAATATAAGACTCGAAGTTTCATCTTGAAAGGTTAGTCTTGTTAGAAAATAATAGTTACATTTTCATATTTATTTGATGTGTGATTTATTTCTAAAACATGTCATCTTAAGATAGTGACCCGTTGAAGCACGCCAATTTTGAAATTCGATTACTTTTACTTTAAACATACTGAATTATATGTTGATTTAGCCCTTGTTTGGCTCCATTTTAATAGAAATTTGGAGAAAAATGAGTTTTGAAATAGTGATTTTTTGGAACATGTGTGATTAAAAAATAAGGAAAAATTTTCAATTTACGTGTAATATTATTTTATGGAATAATGTGTGATTGAAAATGAGTTTTAAAAAAATGAGTTTTTTTTTTATTTTTTTTAAAAAAAGGGAGGCCAAAGTTAGGTTTACATGTGCTCTTAACATACATTATCAGCCCGTTTGACCCTCATTTTGTTTTGACAAAAATGCATTTTGGAGTAGCGAATTGATAAGAGAATGTGTGGTTAAAAAGTAATGATTTTTTTGAATTTGTGTGTAATATTATTTTATTAAAGAATACACGGTTGAAAATAAGAAAGAGAAAAATGTATTTTGAAAAAAAGAGGACCAAACAAGGACTATATGCTTATTCATATATTTATATATATTCGATGTTAGATTTATATCTAAAACATTTCCTCTTAAGATAGTGACTCATTGGAGCATATAAGTCTTGAAATTTGATTGATCTTATGAGTTTTAGATATATAAAAATATTTGTTTGAATTTAATGAACTCTGATACTATATAAAAGACTTGATATTTCATTTTAAAAGGTCAACTTTACTTAAAAGGGTAGCCCAAACTCTTATATGTTAATCTATGTTTTTGTATTTATTCAAGGTGCAATTTATCCTTAAATATTATAATTTAAACATATTAAATACTTTTTTCGAAAAAAGAAATTCATAACTAAAATAATTTAAGAATACAAATTCAAACTTAGCAAACTTGTGAAAAAAACTTTCAAAAATTGGGTAGTATGACCTCTTATAAATTTATGAATAAACTATTAGTCAGATTCTTCCCTTCTGTCACAACAATCTCTCGATCTACGATGTCTAACGGGTTAAATTCCTCTGACCCACCAACCACGACAGTGACACCACCTACTTATCCCCCATGGCGCCATTGCATTGTCACTGCCAACTCCGTCAACCCATTCCAACCTTACATGAGATGTTGCATATACCCTTTCTCATCTCCTCCATCACCTCCCTTGTAATCTTTCCCACTGTCTCCCAAAACCGCGGTCTCTCTTCTACACTTTCGTCCATTACCACATGCATTATCACTTCTCCAGTTATATCTCTCTCCAACCTCCCTGTACCTCTACTCTGAAAGCTCAAGAATAGCTAACCAAGAGTGGGGTGGATTGATTTTTAACACTTTTTCGAAGTTTTAATCAAAATTAAGCACTTAATAATTAGATAGATTAATTCAAGTAATAAGTATGAATATGAAAGCAATAAGTAAAGAGAGATATAAAATGCAAATGAAATAATAATGGAAGTTCGATCTAACGCAATGATCTACGTCCTTCGTTACCAAACTCTCCAGCATGCGTAAAGCCAATTTCACTATACAATTTTGCTCAAAGAATCTCACTTGAATGCTCACTTGTAATAAATGGTAGGTGAGTTGATATTTATAGCAGTTGAAAACATAAAATTTCTGTCGAATTGGACGATCATTTGGACGTCCAGAACAGTACCAGACAACTGAAAAATAGTCGTTGCATGTCAGAATCAGAACGGTCAAAAAATTGACTGTTGCGGCCGAACCGAATGTCCGGTTTGCCATCCGGACGTCCAAATGGCTAGAACTTTTCCCCTTTTATTTTATTTTTGTTTTGTTTTGTTTGCAATCGGTAAGTTTTTTGCATAACGTTTTTATTTGATTTTTCAAAGTAAGTGATGCTAATAGGATTGAAAATTAAGTTGAAATTCTTACATTTGAAAAATAATTTTTGTGCAAACGTTTAACGAAGTGAATTTTTATCATGCACAAACAAATTCGTCACTTGAGCTTTCAAATATTTTACCTTTACAAGTGAGTTCAAATATATAGTTCTAATATCTTCGATTGATTTGACGCGAGTGCACGATTTCCACCTTGAACTTTCTTGACCTTCACCTTCACGTCCTTTGGTAGCAATTATTTTGTCTTCAATTTGATTAATTTTGCAGCATGTAAAAATGAAGACTCGAATACAAATGTTAGAGATAAAAATACTTTGTTTGTTATAATCAAAACATGAGATCAACCATAGGTCAACATACTCTTCACTCTTCTCTCCTCTATCTTCCAAGAGCAAGACTTCTCCAAGCTCATCTAGCACCTCATAGCCTTACATCTCCCTTGACTGTGGAATCAGCGTCTCTCTTTCTTTTACTTCCCTCCCCAATGATTTTGCTCTAGAGCGCTCTTAGGACCTTGAGCTTGGCTTCGTAGGGTGTAGAGATAGAAATTAGCCGTTCCAGATTTATTCATTATTGAGCATGCGAATTAAAGTATCTATGATCACTTGTGATAATACAAGTTGGGTACTTGAGTTGAGAAATATAGTGTGTCACAATTTATATTTTGATCATAAATAATTTGTTCACTACCAATGTATAAGTGTTGGCACCTTGTACTGGAAGGATGTAGTTTGTCCGATTCACTATTCAGATTTGTCATTTGTCATTATCATAGAAATAGTTAAATGTGATACTAGTACACTTGGAGTGTATTGAACGAACCACGTGTCGAGTTTAATTCTATAGCATTACCGTGCGGAGAATTAAATTCTACTTGACCACTATGTATTTCATCTAAATCCCTTGACAGAGTTATGTATACCTTTTTAGGATTTTAATGGTTCTTTGATTTATCCATGGGTGAGATCAATTTGATTGGTCAAATATCTCTATAAATTGGGAACTTGAGAATGTGCGAAGTAGAGAACATAAATTCGTGTCGGGAACCATCGCCCTAAAAAATGGGTAGAGTGACTACTTAAATATTTTCTGTTGAACGATTAAAATTTGAGCTCAGTGTTTAGCGACAACTAAATTTCGACATCTGTGATTTGTTCACAGGACCGTTCAAGAAAATGGTGCTTAAGTTGGTGAGAATAATTAGAGGGACAAAACGATCTTTTATGCTGGTACCTAATTATCAAATCTCAGACGGGAATACATATACGGTAGGTCAGATGAAAGTATTACAGATTTATTGGTTTCTGTAATCTTATATATTTCGAGATTTCAGTCTTTTGCCTTTAGTGAGAACAACAAAGACTAATACTTAAATTGGGTGGTCTAGGATCGACTATACATAATCTAATTATTGGAGTTTGAATAATATATGTCCGATTAGGTCCATGTGGTAGCTCTTGAATTTAATTATGGTAATTATAATAGTTTTGGACATAATTTTAATTACAATAAAGTTTTGTACTTGTAATTATTATAAAATTCTAAACTTAATTATAATTGTAATTGAAGTTCTAGGACTACACAT